CGTGGGGTGGTCGGTCAGACGGTGAATATGTACACATATATATATATATATATTTTTAGTTCTCCAAGTCGGTGATTTTCCTTGCATGTACGTGTGCGAGAGAGAGGCCTTTTGGGTATTTTCTGGAACATTTTTGGTAGCTAATACCTTTTGAGGAAAACATGCATCCATCCCAGCACGCTCCTTTCTCAGGTGCCCAAATAAGCACAATACTGCGGGCTGTGTTTAAAGCACAAATGGAAGGAGGGTGGGATGGGGAACAAAGTTTTAGACTTTTGGGTTTTCGGTGAAGATTTTTGTTAAGCTTTCAGACACAACACTTTCAACATGGAATAACTTAAACTGTTGCTTAAGATTTGGGGGGAGTTCTCTCAAGAAAATATATAATCTTCACCAGATGGCCAGATTTCCCCACTCACAACTTCATAAATATATTATATAAGTAAGAAAGAGGGCAGGAAAATACAGGCATACCTCCCCACATGTGCTTATCTCGCACAGGTTGCTTGTTTTGGTTTTTACGATGCCTCCTTATAAGTAACTGCAAAATATTCAAATGTAGCATCAGGTTTAAAGTCTCCTTTTTTCCTCTAACCGAAACAGGAGGAAGAAATGGAGATGATGACTGAGAAACAGAGAGATACTAAGTATTTCTGCAACAACACTCCTGAAAAGAGCGATTACGAGGCTGTAGAAGCCCTTATTTCTATGAGCTGCAACTGGAAATCAGACTTCAAAAAACATGCAGAAATGAGACCTATAACTCCAGCATCTGATATGTCAGAAGAGAGCGACGAGACTTTGCTTCCCGGAGCGGCAGACTTTAATGCAATACCAGCATTTGTAAGTTTTTGAATTTGTACGTGCGCGTGCTTGTTTGTAACAGTCAGTGTGGCGATGTGTTGGTAACGTGCCCCCCCCTTACTGTGTCTGTCTCCCCGCGCAGTGCCTGACCCCCCCCTACAGCCCTTCCGACTTGGAGATGTCACAGGTGGTCCATCCGGGGGCACCGGCGCTCGGCAAGTTGCTGGCAGAGGCTGCCAAGCCGCCTCTGGCCGCACCTCGGCGAGAGGCAGAGAAGCCTCCAGCGGCCGGGCCTCTGAAAGCTCAAGCGACGAGTGTTATCCGCCACACAGCTGATGCTCAGCTTTGCAATCGCAAGACCTGCCCGGTGAGAACAGCCAGCGTGCTGAAATACCAGGACAGTGTTTCAAGGGAAACAAGCAGTAAACGGAACGCCAAGGCAGAACATGTGGCGTGTTCCGCCGTGGCGCCGAGCAGAGCCAGGGATGAGAGCGAAGAATTGCTGGTGGCAGAAGGAAAAACCGCAGAACCGGCTGTCAGCCCGGCGCCCTTGGCAAAGCCCTCGGTCAGCAGACATCAGCCTGTCCCTGGGCCGGCACAGCAGCCGCTGGCGGCGGTGGCACCACCGTGCCCTGCCCAAGGCAGCGGAGCCCCCCCTGTGCCAGTGATTTGCCAGATGGTCCCGCTGCCCGCAAACAACAACGTTGTGACGGCCGTGGTGCCCAACGCCGCGCCAAGCCAGCAGGCGGCTCTCTGTCAGCCCATGGTCTTCATGGGCACCCAGGTTCCCAAAGGTGCTGTTATGTTCGTTGTGCCCCAGCCGGTTGTGCAGAGCACAAAGGCTCCCATTATTAGTCCGAACGGCACGAGACTCTCTCCCATTGCCCCTGCTCCTGGCTTCGTACCTTCTGCCGCAAAAACCACTCCTCCGGTTGATTCTTCAAGAATAAGAAGTCACATTTGCAGCTACCCAGGATGTGGGAAAACGTACTTCAAGAGCTCCCATTTGAAGGCTCACGTCAGAACACACACAGGTTGGTCGCTGTTGCTGGATGTTAAAAACGAGTGTAGAAAATTGTGGCTGTATGTGCAGCTTGTTAAGGTTCTAGCGATTACCGGATTTGTTGATGGAACAAATTGTGGGGCAGCGATGAAATACTTTTTTTGCCAGTGTGCATTACAAGGCTGCCTAATCTCTGACAGGAAATCTCCCGGAGGGGAAGCTGACTCAGCTGTTTGTTTTTGCTGGACTTGCTTCACGTCAGAAGGTGTTCAGTAATGCTTCTTACGAGTGTGGAAGCAAGGCCTTGCTTTTCCAGAGTTAAAGACGCCTTCTTAGGCTTCTCCACAGGAATGC